CTGGTCCCTGGTTAGAGGGCTTCTCATGTCCGCATAAAATTAGCAGCACACTGGCTGGGGAAACCCCACCCTACCTCCATTGCCCTCTTCTAGAAAGAAGGTCTGGCAGAGGGCTGCCTCTGACTTGCACAGAAATGGATGTAGAAGCTGACCTAGCAGCCCAGATATTCATGGGGCTCCACAGGCAAGTCTGACAGCTCAAGTCAAGGTCACATCAAATCCCAGCATAGACAACCTCAATGAAAGACTCTGACTCAAGAGGATTCAGAGGGTCATCTGCAACACCTTCCCTTCTCAGGAACTGAAAAGGTTGTGGTCTACAGTCTCAGGAGTAGGCCCAATCCCACCCACCCGGGTTCCCGGTGGAGCCCCTTCCTCCTCCCCAACCCAACCCATCTCCTGTCTCCACCACACTGAGAAACTGCATCTCCCATGTGAGCTTCTCACACACTGGGCCATATGGTTGCTTCTGCTTAGCTAAGGTGCCCTGTCAGCAGCAAGCTCTTTGAGAGGTCAAGGACCCCGGCCTCCACCTGGCCTGGCCCAATTCTGAGGACACAGCTGGCCCTCCTAAATGCCTGATGACCCTGTTGGCATGAAAACCAGATGTATGGAAACTGTGGCCCTGGAAACAGTCAACAGCTATCCTAGGAAGACAGGCCCCAACCACCCTCCCAGCCCACCCTGCCAGTCCACAGTTGGAGCTCAGGCTGGGAACTGGGCTCCCATTCAGCCCATCTGCTCTGTTTCTCTTGTATGCTTTTTCTCAGCACAGGAAGAGGAGGAATAAGAGGAGGAGGAGGAGGAGGAGGAGGAGGAGGAGGGGGAGGAGGAGGAGGAAGATCCAATTGAAAACCATAAACAGCAAAGAGGAGCATGATGTATGGAATAGTTGCAGTAGTGACAGGCAGTGGCTGGAGGCATAGTAGTTCTTTCTTCCTGAAGAAGCTACTAGAAGAAGGGCTACATCTTGATGTGCATGGTGGAATGAGAAAAGCATTCTACCAAAAGTGTTTTAGACTTAGAATTAATCTTTTTCAGTGGAACTCTAGAAGGAGCACAAACAACTACCTTCCATGGAACAGAGTTTCTCCATTCTGGGACTCCATGCCAGTTCATCTATAAATGAAATGGACTGTTCATCCCTGAATTCTGACTACCAAGCTAATTGACCAAAGGAATATTCCACCCTCACCCTACCCTGAGCTTGCCTGGCCAAGGGAAGGTGGGGGGAGCATCTCAGGCCTCAATATGTAAAAATAACCTGAGAAGATGTTAACAAAGCAGAGGCCTAATCCCTACCTTGAAGATGAGGGAGCCAGGTCTACTGGGATATGAGATATAGGCAAAGCTGGGATTGGGGGGAAGGACAGGAGAGCGGGAGGATCAAGACAAGAGTAAGAACCTCCAATATTGATTGAAGTATCAATCAATAGTCATATCCCAAGCCCAAGCTTCTAACCAGGGCCTGGAATACCAAAGACCAGGATAAGGTTGCTATTCTACAGGACTCACAGTTGGGGACAAACAGCAGCAAGGTGATGACACTATTGGGTAATCACAGCCAAAATGCGACAGGGATGCTCCTCTGTGGGGAGCAGACTGGTATGAAAGTAGGACTGAATTTTAAAATCCTTGAAGAGCCAGGCACTTCATGGTGGTTCATGCCAGTAATCCTAGCTACTGAGGAGCCTGAGATCTGAAGATCACAATTTGAAGTCAGCCCAAGCAGGAAAATCCATAAGACTCTTATCTCCAATTAACTATCAAAATCCAGAAGTAAAGCTCAGGTGATGGAGTGTCAGTCTTGAGCAAAAGAGAAAACCTCAGGAACAACCCCTAAGCTCTGAGTTCAAGACCCAGGAGATGACATCCTGACATCAGTACCAACCCCAGGCTGAATCCTCAAAACAAGTTTCATATCCTCTTCTCTCCCCAGCTAACCCCACCCTTCAAGTATAGATGGAAAAGTCAAAGAATGGGAATCTTGGAGCTGAGTTCAAAGATAGCAAGCACACAGCCTTTAGGTCAGGGAATGCCTTCTGATTGGGCATGGTTGAGGCTCCCTTGAAGGACACAGACCCACCCTGGGCCTTTTTGAGGCCTCCTCTCTCCCCACCTCCCAGCCTTTGACTGCCACAAAGAACAGATCTCCCCGCCCCCTTCTCCCTGCCTCCTCCTCCCTCCTTTCAACACAGCCACACTCAGGTCTCCCCAACCAGGGTTCACCATCCACACTCTCCAACCCTTACCACCTTCCCTCTGCCATGTGCTGTCACCACCTCCCCACATTTCCCCAGAACTGGTCTCAGCCATATACCAGCAGCCAGAAGCTACTCTGCACATTCCACATTATACTTGACCTCTCTACAGCACAGGATACTGTAGCCTGTCCCTCACTGTGAAGGGACTTCCTCCCTGTTGAAGTCCAGCCTCTCCTCCAGAGGCCCCAGCACCAACTTTACCTGGGAGAACCCACTGGAGAAGCCCAGTAACTCATCTTCTTCTCGCTCCACCCTCTCTCCTCCGAAGAGCTGACCCATCCCAAACCTTCCATTCCCTTCTCCATAAGAACCACTCCTGGAGCCCAACCTCCTACCAACACCTTTCTTCTAAGCCTGACTCCAAATACCCAGCTATTCACTGACAAGCCCATTCCTCCTCTGGCAGGCATGTCCAGCCCAGCACTTAACAACTGTCTCAAGGGATGGCTTCATCACATCCAGTTGCTCTACATCTGGGGTCCATTGTCATCTCCTGAGTCCCTCCTCCAAACCTCTTATCTCCTCAATCTGTCGCCTGAGAAATCTAATGTCAAATTACATCCAAATAAGCCTACAGGATGGAGTCAGGCCTCATCTTCTCCCCCTAGTTCCTGAAGTGGCCTTTAGTTCATCTCCTAATTTCTATTCTGCTCCCTCTCACATATTCTCCACACAACATCCAGGATAACTATTCAAATATCCCATCATCTTAGACAGGTACCGGTTAGCTCATCCTTGTAATCCCAGCTACTCAGGAGGCTAAGATCTGACAATCAAGGTTCAAAGCTAGCCTGGGCTTAAAAGTTCATGAAACTCATCTCCAATTAACCAGCAGAATGCTGAAAGTAAAGATGTGGCTCAAATGGAAGAGCACTAGCCTTGAGTGAAAGTCTAAGGGAAGGAAGGAAGGAAGGAAGGAAAGAAGGAAGGAAGGAAGGAAGGAAGGGAGGGACGGAGGGAGGGAGGGAGGGAGGGAGGGAGGGAAAAAAAAGAGGGAAAGAAACAGAATTCAAAGGTGGAGCCATGCCTGGCATCTATGCTTGCCATTACAAAGGTCAAATGGTCAAATACCAAACAAATAAATACCTTTTGCCCAAGTTAAAATGAGTTATGTTTCTGTCACTTGCAATCAAGTGTCCTGACAAACATAATAACATCAGGTAAGTTCTGAGTGTTGACTGAAATTAAACTAGCCTGTGAGTAACACCACCAAGTAAACTTAATGACTCCTTCTAGGTTGAGTTCTCCCTACAAACTCCTGCCATCCATGAACACAGAGACAACCTTCCAACATCCAAAGGCTGCAACTCAGTATAGCAACCAACCACCCCAAAAGATGGGCCTCATACCAATTGTGGACTAGGCTAACTAGGGTGGTCTGGCTCTCAGTGCCTCCCCCCAGTACCCTGACACCCCTCAGTGTAAGCTACATGGCTCTGTGCTGGGGGGAGGAGGGGCACTATGGGATGGTGAGAGGAAGACAGACAGTAGTCATCTGCTTCCTATCGGGGTGTCACCTCCACTGGAGTAGGTCAGGGAAGAGGGGGAGCAGTATGGAGCAGCAGGGAAGAGATGCCTAATTATTTCCCAGTGAGTCACTTCAGCACAGAGCCCCAGGACAGAGACAGGAGCTGGCCTACATGTCCCCCAGATGACTAAAGAGGCAGGTGACTTCCTCAGAGCTAGTCTTCACCTGACAAAGCGTGAAGGAGGGAGAGAAGGAGGAGGAGCGATGCACAGCAGCCTAGGCAGGTCATAGCTGAGCCAACAGTCCTCCCTGGGGGCCATCTTGGGCCTGTGTGGTTATCCAGCCAGTGGAACGGAAAGGTAGAAGGAAGTGGAGGTCAGGAGGAAAGACTGCCCCCTTTCTAGAATAGGAAGGGTCCTAGATCTGGGATAGTCCTTAGATAGTCTCCCCAGAAAAGAGGCTTCTGAATCAAGTGCTAATAGACAAGGAGCTGCCAGTCCACCCCCAGAGTCTCCAGGGCAATTCTCCCATAGGGACTGGAGGGTCAGGGCCATCCAGGAGCCCAGTCAGAGTGGCCCAGCATGCCAGTGCCACTCAAGTCCTAAGAGATCTTCCCAAAGTCCTTGGCAACCCTCCCTTAAGATACCCAGCTGAGCCAGGCACAGGTGACTCTCACCTGTAATCTTATCTACTCAGGAGGCTAAGATTCTGAGGATTATGGTTCAAAGACAATCCAGGCATGAAAGTCTGTGAAACTCTTATCTCTAACCACCAAAAAAACCAGAAGGAGAGCTGTGGCTCAAATGGTAGAGCACTAGCCTTGAAAATAAAAAAAAAGCTTAGGGATAGCATCTAGGCCCTGAGTTCAATCTCTAGTACCAGCATTAAAAACAACTAAGTTAAATTAAATTAAAATGACACCCAGTTATATTGTCCTCCCCATTTCCTCTAGCCTAAACCCCTTGTTCCTAACCCACACATACACATACTCCTTAAGGCCTCACACACACTCCATAAGGCCTCTCTCTAACTACAAGCATCCTGTCAACCCCATCTCAACCCCAGTCTATCTCCTCCCTGCCCCCTGGCACAACATCCCTAAGTCTCAGTCACACTTTCCTCTCTCACTGGTGACCTTAATTAGACACTGTCTCCAGAGGCGTCCAACCTTCCAAAGCCTCCACTAGGACAGGAGCGGCTGGGCAGGGAGCCCAAATAACAGCAAGGCCTGGAGCCCTTCCCCTCCCTCCTGTTTCTGAGCCTCTTACCTTCATGGTGGGGGGCGCAGTGAGAGGAGGGGACAGCGGCCGGTCTGGAAGGGTTACGTCTGAGCTGTTGGCCAGCTCCTGCTTCCTGTGAAAAGACCAAAGAACACAGAAGCAGTCAGCCATGGCCTGTTAGAAGTTTCATGGTAGCCAGGGATGGGTTTAACATGCAGTGCAAAAAAAAAGGGGGGAACAGGGGTAGGAATGCGGCTTCGTGGTAGAGCGCTTGCCTAGCATGCATGAGGCCCTGGGTTCGATTCCTCAGTAGCACATAAACAAAAAATAAACAAAATTTAAAAAAAAACAAACTAAAGAATATAATACTGCATTTCTTTACTGGGATGTTAACAACTAAAATGGTGGTAGTGTAAGAATGGGCCTGGACCATCAGCATCCCTGAGAACTTGTCAGAAATACAAATTCACAAGTATGCACCAGAATCCAGGGATAAAACCCCCAAAATGTGTTTTTGCTGGTGTTCTTATTTTGAGGATTTGGGTTTTTGTGTTTGTACTGGGGCTTGAACGCAGGGCCTGGGCATGGTCCTTTAGCATTTCACTCAAGGGGGTACTCTACCACTTGAGCCACACCTCCACTTCCAGCTTTTTGCTGGTTAATTGGAAAGAAGAGCCTCACAGACTTTCCTACCTGGGCTGACTTTGAACTGTCATGCTCAGATCCCAGCCTCCTGAGTAGCTAGGATTTCAGGCATGAGCCACTGGTACCCGAGAGAATCTGTTTCAATCAAGCTATTCAAAAGGTACTGAAGCACCCAAAGTCTCAAAGCACCAGTCTAAGAGACACAAGACTGGGGCCCCAAGAGAAAAGGGGAATGTGCGGGACTCATTCTCCCTTGGGCATCTTTGTCCACACAAGCGCACACACACACACACACACACACACACACACACACACACACACACACACACACACACACACACACACACACACACACAGAGGTGGCCCTGGCCAGAGAACTGACCTTGGGAGGACAGGGCTGCCTGCTGTGAAAGCTGCAGGTAAAACTTATTTTAGTTCATGTAGACTTAGACCAGAGAGAAGCTGCTAAACAGAATTGTGTCACCATGGCAACGTGATTGCGACAAGTCACACACTCCCCACTTCCCATCTGGCCCTTGCTGGTGACCAGGGAGAACTTGTTTGCTGTCCTATTACCAGGCAGGCTGTTCAGGGTGGGAAAAGCTTTTGGAGCAAGTTGCGCAACAGGGCCAGCTGGATTGCCCAGGGAATCCCCAGGCAAGGAACTCTGCTATCCTGGCTTTGGCTGGGGAAGGCAAGGAGAACAGTACTGATCTACAAGAACCAAGCTGAGCCATCAAAGCCCCTCACTTCACAAGAGCCCCATCGTGAAGCCGCCGAGAGACTCGGACTGACACTGAGGTCCCCTGTCAAATGACTAAAGGACACCCCCCACTGCCACCTGCTAGCGAATCTTTCTGTACCTCATTTGACTCCACCAGCCCAGGTCTTCTTCATGAAGAAGGAAGCCCTCATTCCAGCTTGCCAGAGGGCCCAGCCCTGGCCTCAGGGCCTAGGCACCATCCCAACCTGGCATCTCTACGCCTGCATACCAGGCCAATCTAACACCTCCTGAGGAACCAGGCTGGGCACAGGGCCATGCTACCTTGGCACAGCAACTTGACTGCCCTTACAGAAACCCTTCACTGTCCTCCAAAGCCAAACCAGGAGACTGGTGAACATCTGGCTTGGCACAAGAGCCACATGACTCCCTTAACCTCAGCCCTGGCTATCCACCCCCTCCACTCCTCCTCCTTTGTCCTTCCTAGACCTTGTGATATGACCTACAGTAGCTGAGAGAGATGAGCTGCTCCTCCTTCCTCCCTCCTGCTCCAGACTAACTGATGGAAAGAGAGAGTGAGAGACAGCAAGACAGAGACAGAGAGAGACAGAAAAAGAGATTGAAGAATGCACCAACTCTGTCTATGTCTCAGCCTCCCCTCTGTGTGTGACCTTAGATTTGACTACTGTGGGGTCTAGCCTGCTACTCTGCCCTCACCAACCTGTGGGCCAGCGCTGGCCCAGCACAGGCTCTGCCCTTCTGCTACCTGGCCCTCACCCAAGCAGCCGCTGCCCCTTCCCTTCCCTGTGAACCTAGTCCCTGAAGGCCAAGAGAAGAGAAGGAAGGAAGGAGAAAAGGAAGGAAGGAAGGAAGGAAGGAAGGAAGGAAGGAAGGAAGGAAGGAAGGAAGGAAGGAAGGAAGGAAGGAAGGAAAGAGGGAGGGAGGGAGGGAGGGAGGGAGGGAAGGGCAGAAGAGAGGAACACTATCCACCCCACCCTCAGTTCCCTAAGGTGAAGATAAAGACAGCTTACTCTGCGGACTGGGGGCCTGGCAGCTAGAAAGAGAAGGAAGGCAAACCTTCATCCAGAGGTCACAGAGCTGCTTTGGGCTTACTGAGACCCTCTAGACAATGCTCCCCAGGAAATGGTTTGTGGATGCCTTGACTGCCAGTAGCCCTGGATCTCCAGAAACACAAAGCCTCACAAAGGCTTTGCTGGAAGGTTGTTGACATGACAGGTCAGGGGACACATCAGCAGTCATGCTGTCTGGTTCTGTCAAATCCTTTGGGATACCACATGGGATCACTGTCCAGTGTCTCTGAGTCCCCAAGCAGAGGGCCCCACCCCACCCCCTGCTGGGCTGAGCCCCTCTGCCCTGCACCCACTCTGTTTCCCCTAGATTGCTGAACAGACTCCTGGAACAAATCCCTAGAGAGTGGTGACAACCCAAGGCATCTCCCAGTCAGAAAATTTCCCAAGTGATTCCCAGGAGCAAGAGTGGACACCCCTGGCCATCAGCATCCTGCTAACTCCAGTGCTGTGTCCAGAACTCCAGAAATAGGGTAGGCATAGTATCTGCCTTCAAAGATAGGCCAAGTGCTGGTGGCTCACACTTACAATCTTAGCTACTCAAAAAGCTGAAATCTACCTGAGGATCACAGGGAAGAAAAGTCTGTGAGACCCTTAGCTACCATTAGGCAGCAAAAAGCCAGAAGTATAACTCTCGTGGTAGAGCACCAGCCTTGAATTAAAAAGCCAAGTGACAAGGGAAAGCCCTGAGATCAAATCCCAATACTTTCACACTCTCTCTTTCTCATTTTCTCTCTTTCTATGTCTCTCTTTCTCTATCTCACACACACACACACACACACACACATACACACACACACACATACACACATACACACACATCAGAGTACACACAAATACTTGGTAACAAATTAGAATTCACCTTATCTGGGGATATACATAGTTCAAGTGGCACCTATAAGGAGGGAATTGTACCATCATACTCTTGGCTCCAGCCCATTCCTTCTTTAAGAACTAACTGCCTGGGCTGGGAAGATGGCTCAGTGGTAGAGTGCTTGCCTTGCATGCATGAGTCCCTGGGTTCGATTCCTCAGTACCACATAAGCAGAAAAAGCCGGAAGTGGCACTATGGCTCAAGTGGTAGAGCGCTAGCTTTGAGCTGAAGAGCTGAGGGGCAGCACCCAGGCCCAGAGTTCAGGCCCCACAACCAACAACAACAACAAAAAAAGAACTAACTGCCTGCTATAGATTGAACTGTGTCCTCCGGAAAACTACACACACATCCTTCAAACAAGATATGCTGTCCTTCTAAATCACAGTGACTGCAAATGGGGCTTTATTTGAAAGCAGGATTTTTATTTTATTTATTTATTTATTTATTTTTGCAGATAGAGTCAAGATGAGGCCATGAGATAGGCCCTTAGCTCTACATGACCAGTGTCCTTAGAAGACAAGGTGCCTGTGTAAAGACACAGACACATGGAAAATGCCAGATGGCAATGCAGGCAGAGGTTACAGTGACGTGCTGCAATCTGAGCAATGCCAAAGAATGCTGGCCCCTGCCACAAGCTATACTAGGCACAGAAGATTCTTTCCCAAAGCCTGCAGAGAGAGGTGGCCCTGCTGGCATCTTGCTGAGCCTCTGGGCTCCAAAATATAGACAATAAATACCCACTGCCTTAAGACACTCAGTTTTGTTTGTTTGTTATACCGGTAATGGGGCTTGAACTCAGGGCCTGGATGCTGTCCTTAGCTTGTTCACTCAAGGCTATAGCACTCTACCACTTGAGCCACAGCTCTACTTCCAGCTTTTTGCTGGTCAATTGTAGTTAAGAGTCTCATGGATTTTTCTGCCCAGGCTGCCTTCAAACAGTGATCCTCAGATCTCAGCCCTCTGAGATGTCAAGATTTCAGGCATGAGTCACCAGTGCCAGGCCCAGATTTTAGACTTAGTATTGGTGGCCCTAAGAAAGCAACATAGAGCCCAAGTCCACAATTCCAGCCTTGGCCTTGGCTGAAGGATCAAAAGCAAGGTGAACTTTCTGCTTCTGCCTCACCAGCCCTAGTGTGACCAATCATGTTCAACCTTGTCCTGCCCCAGCCCTCACAACAATGACATTTTCATGTCAGCCACCCCTGCCTCCAGAAAGACAGGCCAAACCCAGCCACCAGCTGGTGCAGAGATAAGATAAGAGTGGAATTGCCGAGTTCAATGCAATTCCAGCCCTTTCTCTCCCCACTCAGGCAAACATCACACAGGGCTAGCTGAAATGATACGATTATATCAAGGGATGACCTTGAATCTGCTATCATCCGCTATAAGCGAAAGGTAAATCATTAGCAGAGGTGACACCTTCCTTGGGGCACAGCGATCGTGCCATGTACCATGTTCCTGGGATGGACAATTTCCCCCACTTTCCACGAACCCAGACAAACCCATGCCCTAATGCCTGGGGAGGGGGGACCCAAAAGTGGAGGTGTGGGTGATACAAGGAATGGAGGCAGAAGGGGAGGAGGAAGATTCCACACTCAGCATAAAGAGAAGGCTGTGGAGGCAGCTGGATGGGCAGATAATCCGAGGGATCCAGAGACACTGTCCGTTCAACCTCCCTGCCACTCCAGAGCCACACGGCACTGAAGTTTCCACTCTGGGATTCTGTCCCTAAGAGCATGAAAGAAAAGCAACAGAGGGGAGGGCTCATGGTGGTGAGAGAACACCGCAGCTGGCGTTAGCCAAAT